TCATCTCTCCTGCCCCCTATCCCACCTCCAGTCATACCCGAAATGAAGCACTTAGTTGGATAACATCTTGAAATTCTTGGGAATGGCGAAACTCTATCCAAGCACCTTAAGTACAAGAGAATTGGTCCATCATATCCCATTCCTAGACCAACAAGCCTTCCAAATGCAAGATAGAGTCCAGTTCCACAACCCATTGTGCCAAAGAAGAAACCTGTGGAGAGGGCCAGTATCTCAGAATGATCCTTCTAGCAGCTGTTAGGAAATGGTGTAGAACATCCTTATTTAATAGATTTAATGTGAACCAGGGAGCACCGAAAGCAGGGCGATCCAGGGAGAATTAGGTACCACTCTACCCGTTACTCTGGTGAAGATGGACAGAATAGTAGCCCAAACTTGATTGATGGGGGTCAGCACCACCAAATATTGTTATGTTACCCACATCTCCACTTCACCCTGCATATGTTTTTTTTAATTATTTTGTCCAGACACACACTTTAAGCCCTTTTTGGTACCTATGTCCAAAAACTTTAATAAGCTTGAATAGAAAATGAATAGAAAATTCTGTGGCAGTTAGTATTGGTCAGTTGTGCTTGTAGGTTGTATTAATTTGAAAGCAGAGGAATTATAAGAGTTAAATCGTGTAACTTGGGGTGACAGACAGTCCTGATGCTCAATGCTGCCCAGGCCACAGCACCAGATTAAGTTAAAGGGCTTCAAGGGACATGAAGTGCAGCTAATAAGCCCTGACATGAGCAGGCAAGTTGTCTCTTACACCCAGCTCAAAGTCGCTGGACCCTTGCACGTTTTTATCAGCAAAGAGGCTATAGAGGATGATATGCCAGACTCTAATCATGTAAGGAGCATACCCTCTAATACTATTTTTACATTTGTATTAGCTTTCAAAGCTCAGGCTGGCATAACATTCTACTAAGGCTTGATGAAGGTGAACACTGTTCATTAGAATGCTCATAAGCAAAATGAATATTATTGTTGTATATTTGCACACAGTTTTAGGGTGATTTGTTGTTTCTGATTCGTTATGCTTTGAATAGTATCTAGTTTTTTATTACTCATGTGCATAGGCATATTAAAATAAGCCCATCTATATTGAATCCTACTGCCTGAAGCTGTCAGAAAAATGCAGTGTAAAAAATGCATAGCTTGGTGTGTAATCACATAGGTTTTTGCGCGTTTACATGTCGGCGGTGTTTAGAGGCATATGCACATAAGCTAATTCTGTGGGCTAAAATATACATTTAGCCACTAGAATAAATTTACATGCAGACACGTGTTAATTTTACCAGTCAGCTCCTCTCTGAACACAAGTTTGGGCCATTTTATTTTTATGCCCCTGAACACTGCTCTAAAACACGGATCTAAATGCCGCAATGTGCATGAACACATTGGCAAAAATAGAGCTGCGTTCAGAGGCATAAAAATGCCTCTAAAAGCATAATTGTTTTTTGTCTTTGTGCATGAGGACTTAGGCCAGTGGTTTAGTCAACTTACTCAATATAGGAAGCCTCAAGTGCAGCCCCTTATATCATCAAAGGGCTGCAGATAATATATCATCAAAGGGCTGCAGATAATATACAGTATGTAATGCTCAGTATGTAATGCTACAAAAAAAATTCAGTGACTGTGGATGTACTATTTTTTTGTAGCATTACATACTGAGCATTACATACTGTATATTATCTGCAGCCCTTTGATTCAGAGTCTTCATGCTTAAAATAAGAGTGGTTGGAGGTTGGGGACATGATACAGAAGACAGAGAATGGAAATATGTTGCATGACACTGCTAGAGATAAATGACAGTCCCTTTATCCCCAAGATCACACTTTTGCATTTCAATAACACGCAACACCACACTAATTACGCACTTTTTGAATTGCACCCAACACACTAGGTAATGCACCTGCACCGCAACACATGACAATGCACCATCATGTGTTGCTCTAGAGAAAAGTGTCAGCTGTGGATTTGGCTGCGCTGGAGTGCATTGACAAAATGAATGGACTGCCTTAATGCCTGACTTCATTTCTGTGTGTGCCTTTCAAGCCAATGCTTCCACATTAGGGCGCCCTACACCCTAATGGTGGTGGAAGAACACGTGGAAGAACATGTGAAGACAGCACAGGAAAAAAAAGAAAGAAACCAAACTATTTCATTAGCAGTAGCCTGTCTAATAAATATTTTTCCTTCACTGGCTCTCAGTAAACACCTGGCAGGACAACAAAAACTGGACTACTGGGCACTGGGGCCTGAAGGCCACAGAATAGTAATCCAAGGCTACGTAAGCTACATAGGCCACAAGCTGAGCAATAGGGTTTTAAGCCTACTTGGCCAATTTTTTCTCATCCAGCCCACAGGCTAGATTAGGGAAAATCAAATGATTTCCTCATCCATGCTAAACAGTATGGATGGAGGAATCTCCAGTACCGGCTATTGTTTTCAGCAGGTGTGGCACCCATGGCTGCCTGAATACAGTGGTGCTGCTGAACAGTGACTGCCTGACCTGTCAATATTTAAAATCGACTTTTGTTGAGCTGGGTGGTGCTTGCAGGGCCACCCACGGCTTGCATTTCGGCCAATTCAGCAGGAATCGCCAGCTCTATGTCTAGCCTTAGACTGTAATTGCCCTGTAGTTAAAATGTTTGTATCACTAAGGAATGATAATTAAAAAGGAAAAAAATGCCTAAAGAACTACAACAGACTCAATAATTACCTATTAACAATATATAATAAATACTATCAAAGCTGTGTCCATGTATAGATCTTAATTTTACTGTACAATACCATAGTCTAAGAAAAATCCAATTATCCATTATATACACACAAACACACATACAGTATTTACTCATCATCATATGCACTGTCTTGTTGTTTCTCCCATTACTAACTTATACAACAATCTACTTTCAGAGTTGCTTTTGCAGCCATATGCTATTTGCATATGTTTTTGTGTTAAAAGGCAACCCAATTAAATGTGGATAAAAAGGTGGATTAAAACCGATTTAGCGATCACAAAATTATCAACCCATAAGCATATTTAGCTCAGACTCGGGGTTACTGAAACATTAGTGCTGTTTTGGACAAGTCCAACTTCTTTGTCGCTAAATACACAAGATGAATATTTACTGTTAGGTTTTTGAAGGTCTCCAGTGCACCAGACAAGAACCAAGTCCTCCCAATATTACTGTAAAATATATCCACTAGTGAATTGTTGTATAAATATGAAAGAGGGCTCAAACACCTCTATCAGGTATTTTATGGTCACCATTATTTAGAGAGTTTTCTTCCATTGCTGCCTCAGACTGAGTTTCAAGTCAGGCTTGTGGCATCGTTGGCTACATACTATGGAGAATTTAATAAAAAGTGCAACATTAACATAATTTGCCCCATAATGGATTCTCCTAAGTAATGTATGTTGTCTCCACATCATATAGCAATCTGTGCCTTGGAATAAAACGCTGCTTGCCCACCTGTACACAAAATGGAATAACGTACTTTGTGTGGAATTATTCTTTAATCTGCCGCTTGTCTTTTTCTTCAAGTATCTAGATTTGCATTTATCTCTTCTGCTTGTTTCAGGGGCGCTGCATTAATTTCACCAGGGTTAAGGCTGATGGATCTCAAACTATCTATAAACCACCACCTAAAGCTGCACCACCGGTTAACACTCCACCACCAAGCACTCCTCCAAGTCAACCTGCAAGCAATCTACCCAGCCAACCACCAAAGCAGCCTCCTCCGCAACGGCAGCCTCCTCCAGGTCCTCCACCATCTCGAATGCCTCCAGGACCACCCCCAGCACGCCCACCTCCTCAGCCCATGCTTTGAGTTCATGTCACAATCTGCTGTATGATGGACTGTAATTGATCCTTTAAGAGCAACTACACGGGAGTAGGAAAGAAGCAGATCTGGGCTTATGTTATATACAGTTTTTCAGTACTCTGTTTTCTGTCAAGTTTTATTAGTTAATTGTTTATTAAAAAGCAAATCCACCTTTCTGACACAATCTATATTATAAGGCAATGAAATTATCAACTTTTGTTCAGTGCCTGTTACCTTATTCTCTTGAAAGGTAATTTGGACCAGGCACAGGTATATATTAAGGACTCCGACAAACAAACTCCACCAGCAAACAATGGCAGTAGAATTGGTTAAACGGAAGAGTGCAGTGCCTGGCAATGTGGTGACAACATAGGAAGCCACCACATGTCTTGAAATCAATTACTTTTCTGGCCTGTGTAAAGCCCTGATCTCACTCCAAATGAATAGTGGGATAAACAGAATTGGTCACATCAAACCATGCCTGATCATCAAACATCAGTACATGAATGACCTCAATAAAATTTTTGTTTCTGTGGAAGTAATTCCCACTAAAAATGTTCTAGCATACGGAAAGTCTTCCTGAAGGAGTAATGGCTAGCAGCAAACCAAGGACCTACTTCATTTTTTTATCTGTGCTTGGAGAGTGAGACAATAGACTGACAGGTGCCCAGATACCGTTGGCATATGGTGTATTTCATTGTCAGGAAAACCTTAAATACATGAAAGGTATTGGGTAATTTGACCCTTCTTCAGGCATGAAGACGAATAGGTAAAGAATACTTTTCATAAAGTTGATGATTTCACTGTCCTCCTAAGTAGCCTAAAATTTCCAGAAAAGTTATCATTTCAGCCACTCCATTGCATAAACCTGTATTTTACTCATTCATGGATGCTTTTTAGTTTGTCAAGAAGTAAAATGATCTGTAAATTCCTTCTAAACAGCCCAGAACTGCTTCTAGGTTCCCCTAGCATGCAGTACACATTAACTCTTTAGCTGCCACTGGAGAGGGTGCAGACTATATAATAGAGTGGTTGGTTTGGCAACCAAAGGGGGTATATTTACTCAGTCTATTTATTTCTGTCTGTAATGTTTATTTTCTCAAGGAAAGGCAAATGGAGTTTGTTGCTGGCCAGCAAAACCTGCCCCATTTGTGCTCAGGTGACAGCCTGACCTCAGTACATTCCATATTCAGCATCTTCTTTATAACACGGTATTGTATGTTCTATTGGATATGTGGTCTGTTTTCTGCTTCAAAACCCTGGACTTTTGGTGCTTGCAGAGTGCTTATAGTAGATCATGTATGTGCAATCACACTTGATCCCAGTTTGGAGTACGTGCTAGTCCACACTTTTTTTTTTTCATGGCTCCTTTATGTCCTTTTGACTCATTGAGGAAAAACTCTGAACTAGGTAAAACTGCATTTAACAGTCCAGAGACCTGACCTGCTGAATAATACGCAGAATATATGGTGCAAGTCTTCTGAATTCATGTTTGCCAGAATTAATTATTTCAGGAACTTTGGCAACAGACTCTTACTCAGATTGTAAACCCTTACTTAAGTGGAGCCAGTGTTCTCATCACGATTAGGAATAGTTTTCAAACACCAATCGATGAGGAAAAGGCAATCTTTGGGGCTTAGAGGGATGGATGGCATTTTTTGGAAACTTACAGGGCACAAAAACAAACTTTTTTTTAAACAAGTTAGAACAAAATGGCACTTGGAGTTGCATAACAATGAACTAGTCATTAGTAATAACAGAATGCCATAAACTTTAAGGTAGACAGTGACTTACACTTCTACTCATGTCTTAAAGTTCAAAGATATTTGATGTGTGACCTACCCAAACTCATCCTATATGAGTCTCACGCCTTTCCACATTACCATGGCAGCACTAAGGTTGCATTTATTTCTTAGCATGAGCGTTTACAGGCGATTTTAGAGCATTTGTTAGGTGTATACTTGAGTATAAGGGCTATATATGGGATTTCAGGTGCATTCCAGTGCATTTGCAAGCGTTTTTAATGTGTTTTAATGCATTCCGTTGTGATCCAATGCAGCTAAAATAGGGCAAGCAGTATTTTTTCTGACTACATCTGAACAGACTGCATTGATATGAACAGAGCACCAGAAATCCCAAAGGAAAGCAACGTGATGCATTTTGAATGCAGCTGCCAAACTGAACGGACTGCATCACAGCTGCATTTGGTGTGAACTAGCCCTAAATGTTTAGCCAATAGAAAGCTAGATACTGGGAGGAGAAGATGGTTGTTTAGGCCTGAGAAACACTAATTTTCAGGTGGCTAAAAATGCCCCAATCTGCTTTAAAAGTAGCTCTTGTACTGTTTTGAGCACCAGGCATTGAGCTACAGGCGCCTGAACACTCATATGTAAAGTGACAATTTAAAAGCATGCGATTTGGGTCATTAAGCATTTTGGAGCGTTGAGCTTCAAGCTACAAAACACTCAGTCGTGACTTAGGGCTAAAGGTGTAGGTTATAGTGAATTAGGTTTAACCAAAACTGATGTTCTATAAAACTACAGCTTGAAAATAAGTTTTATATCAACTCTTCTCTGGATCTTCTGTTTGTTTCCTTCTGATTTTTAGCACATCAGGGATTGTAAAAACTAACTCTACCATAACTTTAAGAACTGCCAAGGAAATACATGAACAGAATTGGAGTAGAGTAGAGAATAGAGTAGACTCTTCAATGATACACAAACAATGTCCAATATTGCCAACTGCAAAATGACAGGTGCACTTTACATATTGTTCACCTAAATGGAAACACTGCTCTTGGAGTGTTTGGACAAGATGAGGATATATTTAAACAGCAAAACAGGCACTTTTCAGAAGCTTACCGTACTCTATGGGTTGTATTTGTAAAAAAGTTTTGCATTATGGCTACTAGTTTCCTATACTCCTCAGCTCCATCTAGTAGCCATAATGCAATGCGATTCTAAAACACAGACTTTCACAATTGCTGTTTGCCTTGCAAATGTTTTATAAATACACTACTATGTGTTGCTTTACGTGCATTTAGCATCAAAATAAATGGCACCCCAACGTACATGCATTTCAGCACCACCACACACAAAGGCGGACACTGTGCCTTGTGATGCACTGTTGAAAAAGTGCACCTTGGCAGTGTGTTTAAAACAAATGAGCTGCCTTAATGCGTTTGTGGGTTAATGCACCACAACAGTGTGCATCCGATCTTAAAGTTCCTATGAGTTTATTATGTAGGTTAGGAGTCTACTCTGGGCTTAAGTACTGTACTAGCCTCACTGGGACCACAGTGTGATTGCACAGATAGAAAAACAAATTTTTTTCATTTTTTTCATTTTTACTACATTAAGACATTAAAGGTTCTGTACAGAGCATAACAAGGAACACATAGTGCTGCTGGGCAGTTTAAATAATTTATATGTTGTGCTGACATTTTCTTCAACCTCAGTCCCAGTAGATGGGCCTCACAAACGTGATGGTGGTCACTTTGCTTAAAAAATCTAATAGACTAAACACCACCAACATTTACAGCACTTCATAGTGTCCTCAAGTGTATTGGGCTTTCTCAGTTGGACTGGGGGGGATGTATCAAAACTGGAGCAGATAAAATCTAGAGCAGTTGCCCATGGCAACCAATCAGCTTCTCTCTTTAGTTTGTTCAGCTAAGGTTTGAAAATGAAAGAGAGCTGCTGATTGGTTACCATGCACAGCTGCTACAAATTATGTCTGCTCCAGTTTTGATAAATTCCCCTCAATGTGTATTAAGCCATCAGTATTTACTTTCTGTAAACTGAAATACAGTTGTCAAACTTGGGTTGGGTGCACCGCAGGCATGTCTATAGTGCATTTTTAGTCGGCGCACATTTTGAGTAATTGTAATATTTGACTCATATAACATGTTGATAGAAGCTAAATAGGTTTCCACTGATATGCAGACATTGTTCAGTTTTAAATTGGGCATTTATTGTGCCTGCCTGCCTCCGTTATGTACTGCTGGTTTAGGTAGCTGGCTTCTTAGGCATGAAACACTGCATTATGGGAGGGCATTGTAAGCGTGTCTTCTCCATACCCCAAAGTACCAGGATTTTCTATGGAGTCACAGCAAAGTTTGGGACAGCAGGGATGGGGAGTTAGAGCACCAGAGGTGAGGTGCAGGATAGAGTTGTTCATCAACAGAACTTTATTGTTTGCAGCAGACAATAAGCTCTTTAATTTTGTTTGGAATTTGTTAGGTATGTGGTCTGTGAATATGTGTGCTTTAAATATCAGTAGGCAGGAATTGAATGTCTTTTCCAGATAAGGGTGCACTTCAAGCTGACCTCCAGGCACAGCAATTTATATTATTCTAATATATTCATCAATAGCCTCAAAGGATATAATTCAGCTTTGTATGCAACAATCGGCCTTTGCAAGCCAAATTACTACTTTGTAAACATAGCTGTGGCATCACTGTGCTGCACATAGCCTGTCTACAGAGCAAAGCTGTGGGAAGTACCCAGTAGGCTCCATCCCCTATAGGCTGCCTGCAGAAAACTTCAGGAAGGGAGGCAGAGACAAGACCAGCACCCTGTACAAAGGGAGCGAGCAGCAGTGATTGGTCTTAGGCTTCGTTCACACCATCTCCAGTGTGTTCCAGCATGGTTAGCTGCTGGAACACACTGGAATTGCATACAGTCTGGCTCCCTGCATTCTGGGGCGGGACGGGGCTTGGTGGTGTATTCAAGTCAATGGCACCACAGCAATGCCCCACTCCCCCGCATGACACAGCAATGCCCATGTTCCAGTCCAGTGTGATCGCAAAAAATAGTACAAGCACTATTTTTTGCAGGGGGTGTGGCTGCTGTGCCATTGACTTGAGAGCATTGCCCCACCCCAGAACGCAGGGACCCAGACAGTATGCAATTCAGTGCGTTCCAGCAGCTAACCGTGCTGGAATGCACTAGAGATGGTCCCTTAGAGCAGACCTTTCAATAAAATGAAGGTCTGCTCTATTGAAA